TCTGTATTGACATAAAGAAATGTATCATCAAGGAAATTACTTGTGATGTATTTGTTAGTCTTTAATTCTACTTCCTTTCCTATACCTCTTACGTCTAAACATATTTATTCTCCATACTGGTATAAATAAGTAAATATAAATGAAGAACGTGTAAAGGGCTGAAATAAAAAAATTAAAAAATACCTTTTACCCCCCTTGGCAATTGAAGTCTTTAGGCAATTAATAGTAATAGTATTTAAATGGTTGTTGAATGGGTGAGGTCATGTCAAGTTACATTTAGGATAAGAAGGACACTAGATTCCTAGAGGTAAATCCAGCTGACTGTCAATCCCACTAAGTGAGCCGATAGGTCATTTAGAGATGTTTGAATAATATGGCAGTATAGCGTAAGTGGGTTTATTTGTGATGTATGGGTAGGCAAAGCGTATACAGTGCTGAGATCCCCATCGCATTATGTGAGCAAGTATTCCCGGGTGAATGCTGCGTTTTGAGGCCGGAGACGCTCACCCATATTAGATGTCAGCTACAGTGCGCATAATCGTCACTATTGATCGGCTGGTGTTCGGATCTTCAGGTCAAACGGAAAACTCACCTTTTAAGCGTTGCACGTCTGACTATTCACTACGTGGTGTTTTATTCACATTTTCATGTTATAATGTTAGACTTGCGTGCGGAGGTGTGTGTGTGTGTGTGTGCGTGTGTTGTGTGCGTGTGTGTGTGTGAGAGAGCGAGAGAGAGAGAAAGAGAGAGGGAGAGAGAGAGAGAGAGAGAAAGAGAGAGAGGGAGAGAGAGAGAGAATGGATAGAGAGAGATATATAGTTAGAGTGGGGGAAAGAAAGAGATGGAGATGGAGAAGGAGGAAGGAACAGATTAAGCAAAAGAGATAAGGAAGAAGGGGGTAGGGAAAATGGATGAGGTGAAGAGTGAGAATAGGTGAGAGAGGGAGAGAGAAAACAAAAGAGAGAGCGAGAGAGAGAGAGAGAGAGAGAGAGAGAACGAGCGACTCCACAATTTTTACTTCCATATATTGAAACACATTGAGGTTATAGTCAAACAGGGATGACTTTCATAAACAAAAGATAAATCAGCTTTCTCTCATCATAGCGCATCACCGTTTACCCAGGGAATGGTCTCTCCGACATGTTACTGGGTTAACCAAATAAACACCTGTTGCTATACATCTTTATGTATTATGATAACTTTAATACTATGCTTACATTATTCGATATAAGAGTTCCTCCATTATCGTTGTCCTCTTTTATTTTCAGGATTTGCATTTTTAAGCCCTTTCTGTGTCCGATAAATCTCCATGTTTTTAACCATAACTTTGAAACAAAATCCATTTTAAAATATGGGTGTAAAAGGATCTGAGGGGATGTGTGTAAACAATAGTAAATAAGAAAATATGATATAAAATGTAGCACAGAGGAAAGAGGAATTAAGGGATTGGATATAATTTATGCTAAACTTGGTGATATTCATGAACTCATTTATAAGATGATGGCATGTTGTCATTTTGTCGCCAAATAATTATGGAGAAAACTAAAAGATTCACTAATTATCCTAGGCGTAGGAACCAGTTCACAACTTATGATCAAACTGATACAATACTACAAGCTATTTATATGGTGGAAGTGGCTGGTAGCTTTAAAACCCATGTCTATTGTGTCCATCAGGGACACCACTGAAACATAATATCTTCCATTCTCCACATCTTGAATGGAGGTTGAATCACTGCATGTAACACGAGAAAGGTTCTGACATAGGAGTTGTTTCTGGGTCTTTCCTCAGGTAAAAAAGGGCGATTGTACTGCTCATGCAAACAGGAAACACAAGTGTGTTGAATATACACACAGTTTCACGAAGAATGTCGAGAGTATAATTATACTTTATAATAACACCACCGAAAATGTTAAAAAAGGAAAGATAGGATAACTAATATTGGTGCTGCATATTATCTTTACCCGGCCAATAAAGGAAAGGGTTATGCATGTTCCCTTTTAACATATACTAAGACGATAACAAACAAAATGACAGCGATAAAACTGTTGTTGATTTCTTTACACCCATGGTATTGGCCTTATTCAAATTACTATGGTTTCTAATGATTTTTCACCATTTCATTCTTTATAGAAGACCTGATTTATTCCCCCATAAAATGTCAAATTCATTTTTTTTAGTGATCTTTACCTGCTCTGCCTGCTTTTTTCTTCGTTCGCACTGATTGATCATTTGTCAGCCAATGAATCTATCTGAAGACGCATTACTTAATGAGACAAGCATGAGCCATTGATGCTACCTGCGTTCACACTGCTTATTAAACTCAAGGAGGCCTGAATGAACATACCTGTTTTCACTAAGGAGTAACGCATAGGAGCCAAAGGGCTCGGTTCATACTACCTATTAAACCGAGGAGACAAGAATAAACATACCTGCATTCTCTGGAGAGTACATGTGAGCAAAAGATATCCATTCACACTGCCCGTTCGGGGGAGAGAAACATGAGGAAATGGTTATACCTGCATTAACACTGCCCGTTAGCTCGAGAAGGCAAAAATGTCTCAACCTTTATTCACTGACTAAGGAGGTACACATGTGAGACAAAGATACTTTCTACATTCATAATACCTGAGGATGCAAGCATGTAAACATGATTCAACTCGTGTTCATACTGTTTATTAACATGACGAGGCAAGTAAACGAATCTACTTGTATTCAATTATGAGTTACATTGATGAGCCAAAAGGCCTCCGTGTTTACACTGCATGTCTACTTGAGGCACGCGTGTAACAAAGATTAAACTTATGTTCACACTGTTTTTGACCTAAGGACGCAAGCAATGAATATAGGCATACCTGTATTCAATTTGGAGTAGCGTATGTGAGCTAAAAGGCCTCCGCGTTCAGACCTTTGATCAACCTGAGGAAGCAAGCAACGAATCTACCTATATTCATTTAGCGAGGAGGTACACATATGAGGAAATGATTCTACCTGCTGGGTCTAATCAAGTCTCCACCATGTCTGCATTCCAATCGAGGCATGCAACTCTTTCCATGAGCTATAAGATGGAGTTCACTACTATCGAATCAATGGCGACTTCAGAAATAGTGAATGCTAGCTTCCCAAGCTGGATATGCATGTACTTGAACAATATCAATAGCTGCAATATCACGTGGATAAAACGATGATATTATGCATCCATTCAGATACCCTATCGGTCAGAAGAACGTATCAACACGTGATGATATCTTTGAAGTTATCGTTTCCATATAGGCTCTACAGCCATCGAACCGGGTTTATATTGGCAACATGATCATCAGAGTATAGTGGCTTTGTTGAAAATTCACTTCTCATCTAGTATTAGTAAATCAAAACAAAATGTTATCATGAGCATATTTTGCACAACACGGAAAATCTGCATGTTGCCAACGAAACATACTCATGGCTGGTGAAATCGGCATAAAATGGCTCTCTCTCTCTCTCTCTCCCTTCTCTTCTCTGTCAAATCAACTAACACACTATATCTTTGTCACGCTCCATCATATTTCTCCCCTCTCTTTCAGCAGAATATGATATCGCTGCCTCCATATCTCTCAATTAGCAATACTCTCTGTATCTTTCCGTTTGCTGTGCCCTACATAGCGCTGGTGGCATATTGAAATAACCTTCATAATGTAATTGGATAGTGCATTTACCCATATGATAGCTTTAAGTATATGCAGCATATTCCAAAGTGCAGGTTGTATATCATTTACCTCACTTCAAATGACTAGCACTTGAGACATAAGGATAAAAAGATAGATAGATAGATATTTAGAGAAAAACGAAGAGAGAAAAGGGAGAGAGAACACGAACGAAAAATAGATATATATATATATATATAGACAGAGAAAGAGAAAGACAGACACAGAGAGAGAGAGAGAGAGAGAGAGAGAAAACAAAAACCCCACCCATTTCAGCAATATGAACATAAAAAAAGAACAATTACGTGTACTATGCGAGTCAATTTTGTAATGCACCCACTTTCTAATGCATTGCAGTCATTTGTAATTAGTTCCCCGTTGTCGGTAACTCACTTCCATTTTTTTCTTCTTATAGTCAGACCATAGCTTTTTCGGGCCTTCGACTTGATAAGTTGGCTTTGCTAAATGTGACTATTTGCCCCTTGCTGGAACAAAAAATAGCAAACTAAAATGGTGTAAGTGAAATTCGTTAAAATAATCTTGCGATCGTTTAATCGCTAACGATATGTGAATGTTCTTCTTTCCCATTATGTGTTATACCAAGTGTACAGTACAGCACATGGGCAACGGACATCAATCAGTTCGCTTTCTTTACCACCCTCTATTAAGTGAGAAACTACCAGCAATATCAATCATTCCTGATTTTTAATGTCATTATGTGGGAGTTCCTTTTTTTTTCTCCTTTTCCTACGGTGGAATAAGGAAAGAAGACCTGATGTTTTTGTTTATGTCGAGATCAATTCGTGGCCCAACTTTATATAATTGAACACCCATCATCACAAACTAGTATCTATATTTCAAAGCAAAGTCGTTTGTATTATTTGCTTCATTAAAGAAGAAATGAGGCTTGCAAGATAATGGGAATAGGAATATATTACCAAAGCCTTGTGTTTTTAACAGAACGAGAGATGTTGTTTATTCTGATGTACTATCATATATTACTTGAGGCTAATAAATAAGAAAATAATTGATTGTTAAACATAAAAGATAGAATGAAATGTATTCATGAGACCGACATTGATGATCAGGGTAATGATAAAGGATGGCTTCTAACTTTGAAATGAAATGATCCGTGCTGATCAGCGATCTTCAGCGACTCTTTTTTGATCGATTCTCAGGATGCCAGTTTGTCAACATCATGCCCTGATCGCGGGGCACATGCAATGAGAACCTTGCACGCATCACGTCTTGTTTACCCAGATGTGTGTTTATACCAACCATGCAACACGTAAACTCATTCATGCATTCTCATCTTACCATCCGTACAGGATCCAGGCTGAAGATGACATGCTAGCAGCATCCAAACCACCAGGAAAATACCATTCTCACAGTGCGCCATAATCCCAATATGTTTCCAAGGTCCCGGATGCTCAACCACAGAAGTAACCTGGTTGTTTTGATTTCTGCCAATATATTTCACCACCGCTGCGTAGGGTACACACTGTGATGAGCGCGCAATCCAAAAACAACCGATTCGTTTGTGTCGATATCCAATGAGTCTTATGAAGACAGCTTCTCCTGCGATTATTGCTGGTAGGAAATTCTTCAAGTTCGAGTCTGGATCATGAATTCGAAGAAACAAGTATTAGATGCGAGGGTAATGATTTGTTGTAAAATCAAGTAAGCTACATCTAATGGAGGGTGTGTGTATAACTAGCATCCAGGCACTCTTTTCTTGTTGATGTTAAGTAGAGGAGGGAGTGGGAAGGTTGAAGCTATCGCACCGTGCAAACACACACACTCACACAACACTGCAGCCTCACTCCCTTCCGTGGCGTCTAGCGATCGATTGCATTGCACAAATTACTTCGTTGCAGCCTATGACCGAATGAGTCGTGTGTGATTTGATGTTGTCCTTATTCTCCCCTTCTACACGTTGATTTTGATCCAGTTCAGTACATGCATTCACCTTTTGACTGTCATTTATTCATGGACAACATACCAGCAAAATATTCCATCAGCTGCAATTATGACGCTGATAATCTGTCTCTTAATCGAGATCTTCAGGACCATGACCCATAAAACATGATACTTTCAAAGATGAAAAATGCTTGTATAGCTTTTTCCCCGTAAGGATTATAATAATTCGAGAGATCAATCACCGATATATGTTTCTCTATGTAACTCTTTTTTCTCTCTAATTTCTCTACCCATATATAATAGATCTGTTTATGTCTTCCCCTTTCTCTATAAAGTGCATAATCCCCCCCCCCCCTCTCTCTCTCCATCTAGTATGTTTCATGGTTGTCACTACATGTATGCAATACATGTATGTTCATATTCGTTTTCTTTCCTTCAAATAAAGCTTGAATCTTGTCCACTTCCCTTTCCCAAATTTATTCGCCACATGTCCATCACTTTTCTTCTAAATCATTATTTCCCTTCCCCCTCTTTATTTTACTTTAGAATTTTCATTTGTGAATATCCAGTTTCATAATTTGCTTCGCTCCTTACTGTCATATCACATACTACTAATAATTACATTCCGCTTTTATATAACGCCAATAACATCGATACAACGATGTGTCTAAGCACTCTACATATATTATTACCCCTGTCATCGGACTCAGGCTTACCCGCACACAATGTATGCACATTCCCCACTCCCTGGGGAGCATTTCGTTTCATACGTATCTGGGGCATTTGAAACATCCCATACCGTTATGAGATATTTATTCGTTTCTGTCTTTAAATTTTCCTTTAAAGCCACACTATCCTACTTGTAGCTACTTGCTCCCTCTATATAGAAAACAATGCCTAATCGGTGATCATTGGTACCCCATGATCCTCTTTTTCTTATGTTAATTGAGAGCTGAGTTGATGAGATAGCCACCTGTCCAGTGACCTTGCGGTGTTGTCTAATCCCTCCTATAAACTAGTACAGATAAGCTTTACAAAAAAATATTCCAGTGGTCTTTGATTCCGTTCTTTCGCGTTGTATGCAAAACATATTATTAACTAAATATATGCTATTGTTATTTTGTTTAAATTCAGAAATCTTTCAATCTACAAAATTCCATACTTAGGCCTATTGTGACAAAACACATTACTCTATCGAAATGCATTTTTCGATTGAATATAGATATGATATATTCATTTCACTAGCTATTTTGTCATCATCGTCAAGCTAATTTTCAAACACTTGATATACTTAAAATGAAATACAAAATTACAATGAAAGACTTTTGCGATGATCACCAAAAGGGAAGTTAAAAGTGAAAGGGATGAGGTAACTTTGTCTCAGATCCTGAAACAAAATCATGGATTTAGCTTATGCTGCAATGATTATTAATAACCTTTAGGTCAGTCAGGAATCCCATGACTTTTACAAGCCGACGGTCTATTGGAGAACATGAGTGTGGTAAAACCGGTCACTCAAAGATTTTTAATTTTTGGGGGCACTTCATGATCATTTTGAAGCGCATTTTTTTTTTTTTTTTTTTTTTTTCGGGGGGGGGGGGGCTTCAATATTACACCATTTCATAGACACTGAGGACACCTGAGGACGCCACGCATCTCATATTTAACATTGTTAACCGATGCATTTAAGGGTAGAATTTTTGCACTTCGATACCCATATGAAAAAGATAGCAACAACATCAACAACAAGGGCAACAACAATAACAGCAAAGAAACAATCAGGCAAAAATAAAAGCGAAAACATGGACAAAATCCAATCAAATGCACATGACCTTTCAACCTTGCATTCAATCATTCATCTCAGTTATGAAACAAACCATATTGTATCAATGACGTCCAATGTTTTGATGCAAACCAATCAGACAATTCATGAAAATGCGTCTGTGCGTATGCGTATATTGACATGATATAGGACTAAAGAGAGAGAGAGAGAGAGAGGGGGGAGGAGAGAGTTAGGGAGAGATAAACAGAGAGAGAGAGAGAGAGAGAGAGAGAGAGAAAGAGAGAAAATAGAGAGAGAGAGAGAGAGAGAGAGATAGAGAAGGGGAATTGTTTGGAAGTATATACAAGCCTTTGTTTTACGAAAGAACACACCAATGAACCATTTCATGAGCGTGGTCAGAACAACATCAGCATACACCTGTTACGGCGCCACCATTGTGCATCTCACACTATGTGAGGGAGCCCGTATACATCACGTGATACAATGCATTCATCATGAAGCGTATCCTCGTTGTAAAGGAAGGATCTTTAACGAAAGTGAATATAGCTTCACCATAATTCTTTATCGTAAGATTGCCCAAGTATTGAAATGGGGGAAACCTCACAGAATACAAAATGGTTACTGCACGTTTGAAACAAACAATGCGATATCTTATTTGTCAGATGAATGTGATATATATATATATATATATATATATATGTTTATATGTCATTTATTCATTTCCAATGTTCAATATCCTATTATGATGTTATGAACTTTCTCTCGCTCTCTCTCTCTCTCTCTCTCTCTTTCTCTCTCTCTCGCTCTTTGTTTCTCCACATATATATATATTTGTATATAGTTTTTGATTACAATGAAACAATGTGTGAATGAATAGATCTATGTATTCGTAATATCAATATAATATACAGATCTGTAAACATTGTAAAAAGTTCATTACATTCTCTCTCTCTGTTTCTCTCTCTCTCTCTCTGTAATATTCATATGTGTTTGTGTGTGGGTTCTCAGACACCTACCCCCTGGACAACCAACCTTTCGGATAACCACCCCTAGGACAACTTCCCCTTAGGCAAATCAACCTCTTTTGCTCTAAGACGACTGCCCCAGGATAATTACCCTCCAGGTTGATTACCCTCCAGCTAACTACCCCCCCCCCCAGGGCAACACCCTCTAGAACAACACCCTCTAGAACAACTACCCCCGAACATCTACCTCAGACAACTACCCCGTAGGACAACCAACTTCTAGGACAACTACCCCCGATTGATCATTACCCTAAGTGCTTATTGTCCGGGTTAGTTGGGTGGTAGTTACCATATGTGGCAGATGTCAAGGAGGTATATGTCCTAGAGGGCGGTTGCCCTATGGGATAGTTGTCTGGGGGTACTTGTCCTGGCGGATGGTTATCCTAGGGGGTAGTTTTGTGGGGGCTATTATGTCTGGGGGAAGATGTCATTGGGTAGTTTTCCTAGAGGGTGGTTGTACTAGGGGGTAGTTGTCTAGGGGTACTTGTCCTAGGGGTACTCGTTCAGAGGGTGGTTGCCCTAGGGGTACTTGTCCTATGGGGTAGTTGTCCTAGATGTGGTTATCCGGGGGTGATTGTTCAGGGGGTAGGTGTCAGGATACGGTGTGTGTGTTTTTTTCTGTCTCTGGAGCTCTCCGATCTTTATCTTCCTTTCTCTCTATCATTCATAAGCCTGTCGTTTCTATTTTTAGCTTTTGCCCTTTTTTTGGTCACTCTCACTCTTAAATTATAATTGTCTCCATTTGACCCCAATGTAATAATGAGGTATTTGTAATCCCTGTATATGTCTATAGGCTCCTCGTTTAACACAGTACTTTTATTCCAAACAAGCTGAGTTACATATCCATTCTCACATAAGCCATTTTTTACTACAGTGTTTTAATTGAAAATAATATATATTTCAATCCTATTTCAGGTATAAATATTTCGGAAAGAAAGACATTGGTATATGATAAGAAATTAGATATACAGACGGATATTTTACTGATTATCTGCAACAATAAAGATTTGGAATTTTGAAGTAAAAATTATTATATTTTAAAAGATTATTACATGATTACATACAGGTCATGCTAGGCCATAAAAGTCAGAGTCGCTTTTCTGGTTGAAACATTTCAAGATCCACGTGCTCCATTCGGGCGGGAAAGGGGTGGGGTGCGCGATGAGATAATACTCTTTTGTTTAGAACAGTCATTCCGCCCCTTTAATATTTGTTAGGATTATATTTATGACCGCTTTCTGCAACACATTACTCTGGTTAATTGATAAAACTATTTCAAAATGATTATTGAAGCTTTCTTGAATAGACATTTATGAGTGCGTAGCTGAATAATGCATTTATATAAATAATTATCTTTACATATCTGCGATTATAAATCTTCATGAACACATATAACTTTACCTAAGAAAATAACTATGCAGGGTATGTGGTTTTTCATACATTTCACAAAATATTGTTAGACATGTAAATGCATGTTACTTGAGCTTAGCCAGATTCCCTTCTTTTAATGCTCTTTTATTACGAGAAATAAAGAGCGTCACCAAAAACATCACCACTAAACAAAGTTTTACATTGCATCTAGATATATGAATGCAATATAACACAAAATCCTTACGTACGTTTGTGAGAGGTATATATAAATATGTACTAAAATCATAATGAAGATACCAAGGAATGTACGTTAAAGAAGAAAAAACAGTATAAACGTCTGCGGTGAAGAACAGACGTAAATGATTATCTATTTGGTATCGTAGTAATTGTTGCTGCCCAGTTTAGGTTATATAGATATTTTATAAACTAAAATTATAATGAACTAACGACGGAATATACAATAAAGAAAGAAAGAAAAATAGTATAGTGAAGAACAAAGAAAAATAATGATCAAATTTGGTATCAGCAAGTTTTGCTGTCCATTAGAGGTTCTGCATAGTGAATATAAGTCATCGAATCTAAAGACAAAAGCTATACTTGAAATCCATATTTTCAAAGTTCTGAAGATTACATTTTCCATGAGTCATAGTATAGTAACACAAGACCTATAGGTTCCAGTAGTGTCTCTGTTTATTTGAATTACATTCGGCATCTACTTTGGTCGAAAGAACCTCGCCACCTAAATTTATGGTTTAAATTTATGGCCTATAATTATGTTGATCAAACTGAACTGATCTTAGGTTTCCGCCGTACCTCGGGCTTGATCTGCCATCAGTAACACGGCCTGGGTTAGAGATGACTGACAAAGTAGACCCACTTCGAAGATGTCTTGGAGGCACCGAACCATACAAACCAACACCCGGACTATCATCATAGTCTCTGACAGCATTGACAATTTCATCTACAGCCTGTCTCTCCTCGTTCCCAAGGTTACCACCGGAGATAACGGAGTCACGATTAGCAGACCCAGGGTAGTCTACGGGAGGGTAGTAGGTCTCGGTTGGTGAAGGTGGGTCGGGGGCAGGTTGAGAGGGTGGTGGTGGTAGGATGATAGGTTCTGTCTGTTGTACAGCATCAGTAGATTGAGTAGTAGCAGCAGGAGGAGGTGGAGGTGGAATACCTAAGGTGGAGGCGGTACTCACGTTGGTACCTTGACGTACTAATCCACTTGCTGATGCTTCGTTGATGGGGATAAGAGCTGGTCGTCCACTGTAGTCATTATCAGTAGGAGTTGCTAAGTGTGTGATAACAGGACCCCGATCGTCTTCCCGCCTTAACAAATGAGAAAATTGAACAATCTTAATTCATTGTATTTCCACGATTCGGATATGATTTGTTTTTAAATCATACAATATGAGCAAATAACAGAAAAATGTTTTTCAAAGTACTAGACGCACTCATCCCGTTATTTCCGATATACAAACCAAAATCATCAAGTAAATAACGCTTTATCAAAGGTGTTAGATACATTACAGGTGCGAATATGGAAAGTGATAGAATAGACATACTGAAGCTTTTTGTATTGCACTCAGAGTAAAATCACTATTTCATATTATATTCATATTTATTTCATTTCCAACTATGATTAACAGGAATCCGAAATCGGATAATATAATGAGGAGCTACATGAACAAACTGGGCGAAAGAATAGACGTACTTAAAGACCGTCAGTACTAGTTTGGCTAGGAGGGATTAGACCACACAGCGAGGTCACTGACAGGTGGCTATCTCATAAACTCAGCTCTCAAATAACATAAGAAATAGAGGATCATGGGGGACCAACTGACACCGATTGGGAAAGTTTTCTATATAGAGGGAGCAAGTACCTACAAGTAGGACAGTGGGGCTTTAATTTTCTGTTTTGCATTCGTCATGTTTGTGTTTTACCCTGATGAGTGCAAGACGATGTGCTCTAGAGTGTATTATAATAACATTACCTCTTTTTTTTCTTCCCGAACGCGACGGCCATGATGAGGAAGATGACGATCAAGATGACAAGACAGAGAGAAATCACCACTGCGATCACTGACAAAGTTAAAAATAAACAAATAAACATACATTTACATGTTTTTTTCTTCAAGTTTTTTCTTACATGTACTATACATCATCGCAATACGAGTATTGTTAACAACAAAACAACCGAGTAAATACAAAATAAAAAAATAGAGTAGAAAGCATTTCTTAAAGTTTGAAATATGTAACTAATAACGACCTATTAAGTTCCCAGAATAGATTCAATTACGTGACGTAATTTCAGTGTCTCCATCTTTTTTAGGATTTGGTTTCTCCGTTCGAAAAGCGCTTTTAATAAGAAAATCGTATGATAGGGGGTGTAACACCTTCTCTTACAGTTGTGTCACTGTACAGTCATGCTGTTCTTTTAACACACTGTAATTAGCTTAGGTACAGGGCACAGTGCTTTGAACACAGAATGGATCCGACATGTAATACGCATTTATTACATATGGGCCGAAAGAGGGTTCCGTGGACAGACAGAAGAACAAACCGATGGGTACTGGACAAGCTGGATACAGAGATATTGCTCAGAAAGACTATTGCCAGAAGGAAACTGCAGTTTTTTTTGGCCGTGTAGTAAAGGAGAGATGGTCTCGGAAAGTCCCTTATAAAAGGAAAAGTGGAAGCAAGGCGAAGAAGAGGCAGACCTGCTATTTCCTGGTTCAAAGACATCCACACATGGACAGGGAAAAAGCTGTCAGAGGCAACGAGAGCAACAGCTGACAGAGAAGGATGGTGTTAACTTGTGATGGCCACAGCAGCGCAGCTAGCGCCACATGACTGAAGAAGGGCCGAGAGAGACAAGACAGTGTAGATAATGTTGTTCTTGAGTAGCCCTTATATTACAACAAGATGATTACATCTCTGTAGCGTGTCCGAAGAACTTTTGAATATCATTATCCAGTTTAGCTTTGGCAACCATAGCACTAAGTGCATACGTAGGGTACCGGGTACACACTTACTATTGTCGACTAAGTTCAGTGTGGCAAATGTTGGCTGATGTCTTGCCAACTGAGTGCACGGAATCGAACCCTATGCTTTGCTGTCTACAGTTCGGTGACTTATTTACTTAACTATGACACCTCCACAGATACAACGTACTGACTAGCCTCGTTCAGATAAGATGCGGTAAAACCTCGGGGGATTTCTTTTTCATGATGACGCAAATGTTACACACTTCATGGCCCGAATTCACAAAGGAGGTTTGTCGACAAACTTAGGTTTATGTTCGTCATATGACGCGTTTCGACCAACCTTGGTTTGAAACGCGTCGAAACGCGTCATATGACGCACATAAACCTAGGTTTGTCGACAAACCTCCTTCGTGAATTCGGGCCGTTATGGCTGTATCTTATAACACAGAGGTACACGCATGACCTTCATTGCGCGCAGTTAATTTTTTTTTCGGGGGGGGGGGAGGGGGAGGGGGTGGCGGTTTATCGCGTCGAATCTGAACAAGCCTTAAGGATATGTGTGTGTGTGTGTGTGTGTGTGTAATTGGTTTTTACAGACGTGTAATACTATCATTTTCATGGTGAAGTATGTTACATTTATGTCAAGATCGGGGGGGCGAGTACTAACTTTAGAAAAGATGAAAAAAAGCATTTTTAAGTATAGGGATGAGGAAAAGAAAATAGCAATTAAAATGGGAAAGCTAGGATCACATTTTTTAAAGTGGGAGCAGCTTAAGATTAATTAAGATTTGCTTTCTTCTCCACCGTGAGCTTGTTAAAAGCGTAACTCGATTTTGCGGCCTGGATAACTTATTTAGTATATTTTTCTTAAGTTGAGAATGTTGGCAGACATCCACTGAGTGAGTACTGTGTGTGTGTGTGTGGGGGGGGGGGGGGTGGGTGGGTGGGTGGGTGAGTATGTGTGTGAGTGGGTGAGTATGTTTGTGTGATAGAGGGTGAGTATGTCTGTGTGATGTAGGGGGCAGGGAGGGGGCAGGATTGTTTCAGTAAAATTATCTCCAGATTTGTTTTTTTTGTGTAATATATAAGTAAATAACATTTACAATTGACATATTATGTTTAGGTACTTATACGTTTACTTTGTTGCTAAGTTATATTATACTGCAAATAAGTTTGTGTTTAATTATGTTTATGTAAAAGCATCAATATTGAACACGTTTATTTTATTCAATTGTATGTCATGGTTTGTATTACACATCTGGAGAAATAAAACAAAATTGATTAAAAAAAAAAAGTATTAATCAGATATGATTATCTACGTCTGGGGACCGACCTTTAAGGTCACCATCCGAGAGACGTAAAAGACGAAAGACGTAAAAGACGTATCTGTAAGGATGGGCTTACCAATGATCATCCATACTTCGATTCCTCCTGATGCGGTACAGGTTGGTAGAGGGAACCATGTTCTATCGGACTGGCACGAAAGAGTGGTATTCTCCACTGGGTTTCGTCCGTCATCACAGTCTAACACCACACTCTGACCCACCTGGTATGGACTCCCGTCTACACCTACGATTCTTCCTTCCTCTACAACCGGATGGTCGCATGTGGCTGTGGAAAGCAACGGATAAAAACATATATGTGCTTGATTCATTATCCAAGTATGGTATAAAAACAACCACCATTTACAGATTAATTTCGTACTGGGAAAATGCGTGATTAAAAATATAGATTCTGTTGTCACATACAGTATGCGTGACACTGATATAGCAAGAGTTTATTGGTAAATTAACAATGAACAACACAGCGTTGTTATAACAATCATTATCCATTACAGTCGCATCGCCAAACCGATTACAAACCGACACCAAGCCAACTGATTTTGGGTCATTCACTCGGTAATTTAAGTATTGTGTACAATCTGTTGCCATTCTCGGTGTGACCGGGTCTAATACAGAATGAGATGCCTTTTCAGATGCGTGATCATTTAAGATACGTAATAATAAAACACGATCCCACTACTTTCGGATAATAAACATAGGGCGATTTCAATGGCTTTGTAAGTCACCTTTTGAAATCTGTCAATATGACAGTGACATATTACGTTAACCGAACATTTTTTCTACGACACATGAAATAAGGTCTTTTAAATTACCGCTAAGTTAATTTTCGAAAGAAGTTGAGAACGTGTTATACGTCCTTTTCACAGCACACTTCAGAGAAATAACTTAAAGTACATTAAAACTACCCGTATTCAGTCAGTAAAAAACTATTTTTCAATAGATCCATCTCTGAAAAGATAATTATCATCTACAGCAATCAAACAAGCTGTCCTCTATTGCCCATTGCACACGATGCGTCATTAGGGACTTTTAGATTTGCATGTCGACATAGTGGACTGCTACGTGTGATGTCCTTTTAAGGAACTGTTAAATTCCTTTTAAGCCAGTGCCAGTGCCTTAAAAGGACGTCACATGTAGCAGTCCACTATATCGACGTGCAAATCTAAGGCAAAGGACGTCACACGTAGCAGTCCACTATGTCGACGTGCTAATCCAAAAGTCCCTAATGTATTGACGTAGGACTGTGTCAGAGATTGGAGCTGTCCTTAATGTGCTACGTGTAAGTGTGATCATCATGATCATTGAGAAAAATGAACAGTGCAAAAAATGTTTTAAATTTAATAAAAGGCGTAGGTGCCGATTGTTTTCATAGTCTTGATTACAGCAGGTAGTAACGCAATCAAATTGACGCTTGGGGGGTGTTTCACAAAACTGGTCATCAGTGACAAATGACAGTTGTTGTTAAAAGCTACTGAAATACTTGCTTGTGATTGGTTATCAGCAGATTTGTCACTGATATTTGTCATTTGTCATTGAAAAAAGGCTTTGTGAAACGGGTCCCTGGTGTGCGGTGGATATAATGCTTACATGGGTTTGGAGGTATAGTGACAGGGGCTGTAGTCATTGCAGGGTCAGTGGCTTCATCTGTGGGAGGAGGAGGGGTCGCTGGCACAACAGCTGCAGTCGTGACCTCATCTGGAGGGGTTGCTGTAGAGTTGGGATCTGGTGAAACTGGTGGAACTGGTACAGCTGGTGATGAAGTCACCTCTGGTTGATTAGTCATCGGGATGGCTGATATTATGGTCGGCGTAGTTTGAGGCATCGTTGTGGTTGGATCTCCTGTATAATGATAATAATAATAATGAGGATGATGATGGTAATGATAACAATGATGCTAATGATGATAATAATAATAATAATGCTAATGTTAATGATAATGATAATACTACTACTACTAATAATAATGATGGTAATGATAATACTACTTCTAATAATGATCTACACCTGGAGGGCGGGGAAGGTAGGGGGGTGGTTGGAGTGGATGTAAATGGACGTTAGTGCCTACCTGGGATAAAAACCAACCCACATTTTTGGATTTAGAGTCATATAACCGCTCATTGACTTAAACAATTCTCAAAGTTTACTCCTCACTTGTTATAGTAAAAGTTTATAGCAACGTCTTTACTAATTTACGCAAATGAAGGGAGGGATACTCGCTGGATAGAGCGAATACCTTAGGAATCCTGCGTTTGAGGACCAATTAGAAAGGCTACTCATCCCATTCCTTCGGAAGGGACTAAAAACTGAAGGATATCTGGAATTGTCTTCACTTCCTTTATATTAAGTGTAGGAAAACGATCTATCTCGTATGAATTTTTTTCTTTTAAAGCGTTAAAAACACCAAACGTTGATTTTCTCGGCAATAAAAGGCTAACTCACTGGTAAAGGTGATAAGATATCCCGATGCTCCAGCCGAGTTCGCAGCCCTCGTCAACGTCGCAGTCACAACCAGTGTCATCTCTAGTAGCCCGGACAGCATGGTTTCACCAGATTCTGTAGGGTTGATGGTCATACCTCCTACCTCCACACTCAGTGTGTCTCCAGGAGCTAGGTCGAAAGCCAGGACTCGAATTAAAAGCATCCCTGATGACGCAGTGACATCGGTACTGGAGATGAGGTCGTCTGGTTGGGATGTATCAGTACTTGATAGGACGTAATTACCAGGAAACCATGGTGATGAGACGTAGCCATCGCCAACAGACACTAGATAATTTGAAATAAAAATGGAGGTCGAAGAAAACAAATCAAATGAAACACAAAACAAGATTGCTCAATGTCAAACTGTCTGGTTCAACTTGAATAGATTTTTCATTAAACCTTTGTAATCATGAAAATTGTTGAACGTGTGAGATCTGTTGAGGATCTAAAGGGCATTAAATCTTTTAAGAATGATATCAGTTAACACCTTTCTGGCCATTAACAGACGACTGATATGAAATTACGATAAATTCATAAGCAAAAGAACATCTTTTTGAAAGAAGATGACAATATACAGTAAGCTTGCGGGTGCACCATGTGAGAGAGAGGGAGGATTGAGGAGTCCTGCAAAGGACTTTCGGTATTTTCTTGAGGTTTTTGTAGTCCTGAAAAAGACTGTTGGTATAGTCTTGAAAAAGACTGTGGGTTATCTTTCTTAGCTAATAGTTCAAAGGAGAACTATATGAGCGCTTGGAGAGGATGGGTGGCGGGAGTGGCATGGTGCATGGTGCATCCGCAAGCCTACTGTATATCTACATCACAATGTAAGCCGACACTTACAAGCAGCATCTTAGATGACAATATTTTTTTAATTTTTAATCCAAATTTTAAAACCATAAACCTAAGTCTGGAATGTTTCGTTAAATTGTATTAGACTACAATTCAGACATTTTATTTGTATAATTATTTCTTTATTTTGAGATATGAAAACGCTTACCAGAATAAACAGATAGGACTTCCATGTTGACTTCAGCGTCACCACATAGCTGAGCAGAGTTACCTGGGCATGGCATCTTACACATAGTGTTATCAATAGGCTGGGCTGAAGGATTTATCTGGTCATCACAAGTACATGTCTCTCCATATAAACCAGCAAACATAAAATTTATTGAACAGCTTTCTAAACAAGCTTCGATAGTATTTGACGGGAATTGGATTGCTGTGTTTGATACAGGAATGTCTCCAAAACGGTAGCACCCTTGGTAATTTGGCGCTATCCCAACGTTTAAGCCTAAAAAAGGTGCAAACAAATAAAATATGAATTACCTTCAAACAAAATTAGACGTTAAGTTTTCGTTGAATATTGCTGTTTCCAAGTAAAATAAATAATGAATGCATTTGATCATTCAATATAAAATAATCACACCCAGATTAAGAATTCCCATGTGAAATTACAATTATAAACTCGGGCTACGGCTTCGTTGAAATAAAGCAGCAATCGGGAAATTTCTGAACCTGTCTGTTCATACATTTCGCTATTATAATATTGGACTTTGAAATTTGAAATGTATAATGAACGTAGCATTCATTATTCGTATAATAATATTATTATAAGAAATACTAAGAGAATACGACAAAAGCATAAAAATACAATGATTGTAGTCATACGTTTTCTTTTTTTCTTCTTCTGGAGACGACAACAGGGTCGTATGATTTAACCCTTTGTATCATTATGATGGAAGAAATATTCGTTTGTGGCTACGGAATTAATTATCCAACTTATACATGTGGTCTACTTGAAGTAAATATCTCTTTCCTTCACATAAACTTTAAATGTTATTAAAACAAATACACAGACATACATACACACATAATAATGTTGAGAAAGGTCGATTATCAGTTTTAATATGTAGATTATTGAGGAAATGAAAGGTAATTTCATGAGGCTTGAAGACTTACCTGAGCACCTAACACCTACATCGTTTTCATGAGGGCATGTAGAGGTCTGTCCCCATTGGTCGTCTGTAACACACTCGTTCAGACGTCGGTCGGATGATTCACACTTTACGTCAGCTAACCAGATACGTTGTGTTGGAATGCCAGGCCCGAAACTTGGACTACTCAAAGAAACTTGAAAACCTATATTAAACATGAAAAATGGACATTTCACAATACGAAAAACCACTGTTCAGTCTAAATTGGAGTCCTGTGTAAAACAACCTTTGTGCCAATAAGGGTGTTCATTCCACAAAATGGAAATAAACAAAGCACAATAGAAAAATGTTGGAATACCCGGCCTGAATGAGTTCATAATTTAGGAGCCCTGGTTTAATATTGACACATGCTTCTGACAGTCTATAATTCCTTTACTTCCACATACATGGAATATCGACTCCATACTTTTGTGCTTAATTACAAAGACAATTCAACATCAATGAAAGACAAATTTATAAAATACCGAGACATACAGTAATACATGTATGTAATTTAAGGATGATGGGTTAGAAATGTAATGGTTGTCTGAGGCCCAGTCTAACACAATATCATTTGACTATATCTGTAATTAAATGTACTATTTAACATCATTTCAGCTACGACGAACTACCCATTCCAAATGATGTTGCACAAATAATGATTCAGAATTTTTTTTTTTAACATTGTGATATAGTTATTTATTTATTTATATATTCATGTCTTCTTTTAAAAGCAGTGTAGGTCTTTCTGTTAAAAACTGCTTTACAATGGAGCCCTGCTGCAACATACAAACAAATGAGCAACGACAACAACAACAACAACGTTACCATGAAATACTAGAAATATCACTGTACAAATAAAAGGTGACATATATGAACAATAACATTGCAAGACTTATAAAAGTAAGAAAAAAAACTGAACAGGAAATAAAGGATGACAACCATGTCATTACAACACATTTATAACTACTTGGCATTTGTTTTAAAGATTGAAAGAAAGAAGAACAAATAGGATGAGAAGATGAAGAAGAAAAAGGTTAAAGAAGAAAAAAGGAGAAGAGAAAAAAAAAAGGTAAAAGAAGAAGAAGATTGAAGAATATTAATATGAAGAAATTGAGCTATAGTAGTCGAGACTCACGTCCTTTTAGTCACAGTCACAGTCTCATATTTCAGAGTATTTTCAGTCTCTAATTTTCAGAGTAGTTTCAGAGAAAGTGATTTCTAGGAAGTTGTGTTGGTTTCCTTATTTTGTCTGGTCCAAAAGCAAATATATTGTATTAAAAAGAAAATATATTTTATATTTTTATTTACATATATTTACAGTATTGCTTCTCAATTACTATTGTTCAGCCTATTGGATTGTAAACATGACGAGTTTTCATACAAACCTAGCTGTCTGCAGACTACACCACTGTCTGTACTATCCCATCCTCGGTTGCATATCGTACCCCACACGTTATCATAATACACCTCTACCCTTCCTTCCAGAGTGGAACTACCACCAACCAGTCGTACATCACCTACAGAAAGAAAGACAAAATATGTAAATAGTTTTAAACACTATCAATCAGCCCTCTGTCGGAAGAATAAGGAAATTAACTCAGAACAATGTAATTCCCTCTCGAACATCTCTCGTCAGTAGACTAAGTTTGATTCTAATAATTCATTGGTATAATAATAATGTGGTCTTATCAATAACCGGGGTAGTCACTCTAGTGTTACTATACTGCTCCTTCTACGAACCCTGCAATTATTATGAACCCAGCATTACCAGATACGCATTTGGGTCGAGAGGTCAGATATGGGTTGAACATCTTGTCTCAGGAGGTAATCACACAGCGAGGATCGAACACACGACCTCGGGTATTGTGTTCATTTAATAGGACATTTTCGTAATCTAACCAAATTCGTGCATATGCGGCCTTTGTGAAGGGCCTCGATACGAATTAATACGTCCACCAGTTACGAGAAATTGTATATCGCAGTATGTAGAATGCAAATTGTATGTATTTAGTTGTTGCTAGGTAGGACAGTACTTATGGCTTGTACTACATAGCAAATCCAAATGTAGCCTATGCAAATTGCATTCTGACTATTGAAATATAATTATTCGTATCAGGTGAATGAAATAATTCATATCGTGACACTTATGTATAAATTCGGTTACATTGCGAAAATGGCCTATTCGGTGATTATTTACTTCATGAAGGTTGGACGTAAATGCATACAATTGGTGTAGCGACACCTTGTTTGATTTGAAGGAAAAAAATCCAGTTCAGTATGACATCTGAGTTGAGTTATCTCTCCATCATAGCAAAAATAACCAATAACTTAAAGTGAAGAAAATACAGGCATAAATGTGGGGGTCGGACTTACATCAGAGAAAACTGTTTTCAGACCTTTCAACTTAAAGAGAAGGTTGAGTTATGGAGAGAGGTGAACAATAATTTGTGAGCGTTTTTATTTTTATTATGCAAATATGGAAGAATATATAAGAAAAAATGTTACCTGAAAAGCATTGCTCTTCAAATGCCACCATATTCTAAATATGACATGAAACAGCTTAAAAATGAGGACCACATTTTTATGCCACACGTTTGTGTAGTCCCATATTCATCTTTTCAGTGCTTGTTACTTATACCAAAACTGGGCCAAATTTCTTATCATTTTAATGATTTCAGAGCCTTGCAATACACACATATGCGTATAAGCTACATTTTTTTTTTTTTTTTTTTTTTTTTTTTTTTTTCATAGGTTTTTATTCGTTTCTCTCAAAGAAAATTGTACATTTATAACATAATACATTGGATACAAAATAACAAAATAATTTAACATAGGTCTTTATAAATTTACCAATGATCTTTTACATTTACATACACAAGTTACACCTCTTCATTTTCCTTTGGAGACAAAAAAAAATTATATATATAAAAAAGGGAAAAAGCTACAAAACACCTACTACCCCCCCCCCCACCCCACACAACATTTAAACACATAACATGTACAACAGTATACAAAACACACGCTAACATAGAACGAGCAACAAAAAAAAACAAAACAAAAAAAAAAAAAAAAAACAAAAAAAACAAAAAAAAACAAAAAAAAAACAAAAAAAAAAACAACAAAAAAAAAACAAAACAAAACAAAACAAAACAAACTGAAAACATTTATTCTAAACTTTCCAAAGCTTCCCATTTCCTTAAATGAATTGAAAGTGTGTCTCTTTCCATTGAAAGTTCCTTCTCTTCATTTCTATTTTCCAACAATCTATATTCTATTTCTTTTGCTTTTGGAGGGTTTCCCTTCTCTCTACTGTGGAAAATCATATATTTAATCAAAATTAAAATGTGGTTCAATAATTGCCCTGTTTTAAATGTAGTGTCATCTATTCCTATATGAATTTCTTTCCAGGATAATTTCTTCAAAATTGGTAAATTAAGTCTATCTCCACATTTCCCCCAGACTTCCTTTATTGTATTACATTCAAAGAATATATGTTGATAAGTTTCTTCAAAATTTTTGCAAAATGAGCACAAACCATTTTCATGGAACCTGAATCTATGTAAATGATGATTTGTATATAAAATATTATGCAATAATTTGAACTGAAATTCTCGCAGTTTACTACTTAAGGTACACATCCTTGGTTGAACATATATCTTTTCTACTTCTTTTCTTGGAATATTGTAAAGTGTCATTAAATTGCCGCCTGCCGAGTTTGTTTCTACATTCTTTTTAATTTGACTCTTATATACCATTTTTGCAGTTAAATCTTCAAATGTAAACACTTTCTTTGAAAAAATAAATTCTAAACTAAAGCCAGTGTGAATTGCTTTTCTTAAAGGTTGAACATTCTGTTTCCATTCATAAGGGGCTACGTTATAAATTTGTTTTACTTTATCAATTTCCACTCTGCTCAAACCTAACATTATAAAATGAGCTTCAGGTTTCAATTCTCCATTTTCTTCACAAATGTGATGAATTCGATATATATTTTTCAAAAACAAAGTTTCCTCAAATAAGGTTTGACCTTCTAGTTGAATAAAATTATTATTATACAATATTTCATTCCCTTTGTATCTCTCTTCTGTTTTAACATATTCTTTCATATCTATCCATGCTTTCAGAAGATTCTGATAAAAGGAAGGTAACATAAGTTTCACTGTATCTCTCCAATAATTGCAATAAAATATTAAATTACCTCCTATCGGTCTCATTAAATATTTAAAGTATTGTTTCCACTTGATATCATGAGTTCCTGTTACAAGCCTTTTTATCCACATTATTCTTTGTGCTTTTACAAACAACCTAAAATTCATCATTTTGAGCCCACCCTGCTGATAGTCTAACATCATTGTACTTCTTTTAATTTTATCTTTACCTCTCCACAAAAAATCAAAACATATTACTTCCATTTCTTTGTATACCCACTCTGGAACTGGCATTAGTGATGTTACATATGTCAATTTAGAATATCCATATACTTTCATCAATTGAATTTTACCCATTAAAGTTAGGTCACGCTGTTTCCACCACGTCAGTAGTTTTTTAATTTTGCTCAATATTTCCTTATAATTCATTTTTTCCTTGATATCTACATGAACTGAAAAATAAACACCTAATATTTTAACAGCATCTACAAGTTTCCCAAACGGAAATATGTTATTAGACACCTGTGGGCCCAGGGGCAGAATATATGTCTTATCCTTGTTTAACTTTAATCCTGATATTTTATAAAAACCTTCTAAAACGTGTTCTATTTCCTTAACTGAACTCATATCTTTGATGAAGAGTGTTATATCATCAGCATATAATACTTGCTTTATTTCTGTATTTCCAAAACAAATTCCTTTTACCAATTGATTGTTTCTAATCGTATGAGCTAAAATTTCAATGCATAAAATGAACAGGTATGGAGATAATGGGTCTCCTTGTCTAATTCCTCTTTCAACTTTAAAATAACCTGTTGATGCGTTTCCATTCATAACACAACTTTCAGTATTAGTATAAAGTATATTCACCCATTTACAAAACAATGGTCCAAACCCAAATGAATTTAAGACTTTGTATAGAAAACAATGAGAAACAGAGTCGAATGCCTTTTCAAAATCTAAGGCCATCAAAAAAGCATTTTCCTTATAAAAAGAAGTATGAAAAATCATGTCATCTATTATTCTTATGGCTTCTCCAATGTTTCTATTCTTAACATATCCAAGTTGATCAGAAGATACAATATCAGGTAAAATTTCTTGCAATCTCTTTGAAAGTATCTTTGTTAAAATTTTATAATCCACATTTAAAAGAGAAATCGGTCTGTAATTCTTAATAAAGTCTGAATCTTTATCTTTTTTATGTATCAAGGTGATAACTGCTTGTCTCTGAGAGGCCGATAGTTCTCCATGATTAAAGGCTTCATTAAAAGATGCAAGGATTAGATCTCCAATTACCGGCCAAAATTTAAGATAAAACTCTACACTTAAGCCATCATTTCCTGGTGATTTATTTAATTTCATATTTTTTAATATTTCTATACATTCCCTTTCTACTATCTTTTCTTCACCTAAACCCCTTAAGGTCTCGTTCAATTTTGGCATGTTACTAGGGAAAAATTCTAAACCTCCATCTAGTACAACTTCTATTTTTTTATACAACTGACTGTAAAACTGTTTTATTCCCTCGACAATTTCTTTTTCCTTAGTAACAATCTTTCCGTTTACGTTTAATTTCTGTATTACACTTTTCTTTCTATTTGCTTCCATGAGCTGTTTAAAAAATGCTGTATTCTTCTCTCCACATTCATACCAAGAGGCCCTTGATCGTATTTTTAAACCTTCATTAATATAGTCATAAAATACTCTTAGTTGTTGTTTCTTAATTTTCAGTTGTTCAAGGATATCTTTATAATGTACATTATTGATTGATAGTAGATTTTCTTCCAAGTCTTCAATTTCTTTTTCTAGCTTTTCTATTTTTTCCTTCCTTTCCCTTGCCCTTTTCTTTGAAAATTTAGTTGTAAATCTGCGTATTTCCATTTTGATATAGTCCCATAATACTCTCTTGTCTTTTATCTCAGATAACATTTTGTTCTTTAAAGTCTTTATTTCTTCCTTCATCTTTAAAACATAGTCTCTATCATTTACCAAGCTATTATTGAACTTCCAATAACCCCTTTTACCCTGAAATTTTCCAGACGTTCTATCATGCAGAACCAAATTAACAGCTGAATGGTCGGGTGCTAAGGAGGGAATAATGTCACATTTGGATGTTATCTGTTCTAAATTCTCTGATATAATGAAATAATCCAAACGGCTTTGCATAAATGGATTCCCTTGTCTATAAGTATATTGTTTTTTATCTTTATTTTTATTTCTCCATACATCTCTTAATCTAAATTCATCCATGAATTCTTCTAATTTGCTACTGAATTTTGATTGCTTCTTTGTAACTTGTCCAAAATAATCTAAGTTCTTGTCTCTAATAACATTAAAATCACCTCCAAGAACTACTGGGTTCCCTTCTG